CATGCTAAGAAAATGTAAGCAAATAACAAGCTTTCCAAATCCTAATGACAACAAGTACTGAATCTCTTGCAGGTATGTCCTGGATGATGAATACACAAGCTCAGTAGGCTCCAAATTTCCAGTCCGGTGGTCCCCACCGGAAGTCCTGATGTATAGCAAGTTCAGCAGCAAATCTGACATTTGGGCTTTTGGTAAGTAGATAAGATTACACAGATTGTACAACTCAAAGGAAAAGAAATGCAATGGGAAAATCCATAGTTTGCAACCTGCACAGAGAGATTGTTCTTGCTTTCATTTATTCAGCAAGAGTGCTTGGGGAGTGCTTACAGTGTGTCAGGCACTACAGGGGTTTCTGAGGATAAAAATTAAACTGGAGGCTGGGAGTGGTGCTCATGCCTGTAATCTCAGCACTTTTGGGGGCTGAGGTGTGCGGATCATGAGGTCAAGAGATCAAGACCATCCCGGCCAACGTGGTGAAACCTCGTCTCTACTAAAAATACAAAAGTTAGCCGGGCATGGTGGCATGCGCCTGTAGTCCCAGCTACTCGGGAGGCTGAGGTGGAAGAATCACTTGAACCCAGGAGGCGGAGGTTGCAGTGAGGCAAGATTGTACCAGTGCACTCCAGCCTGGCAACAGAGCAAGACTCTTTCACAAAAACAAAACAAAACAAACAAAAAACTAAACTGGACATGATCTCTGCCTTTTTAGAACTTAAAATATGTTAAGGAAAACAATTCATTCAGTTTTTGACAGCTTCTGAATACTGATTATGTACCAGGCACTCTGCCAGACCCTATGACTACAAAGACAAATAAGATGCGTCTCTCTTCTAGAGGAGTTAATAGTCTAGTACAATGCTGACCTCCATCTAGTGTGTTCAGTACTATAGCAGAAGTTTGGGCAAAATGTAACAAACACAGAGATGGGAACCAACTGATTCTAATCTTTGAGATTGATCTAGGAAGACTAGGACCCCTGCTATCCGAAAAGATTGCAAACCAATTTAATACTGTGTTTCATCTTCTAGGGGTTTTGATGTGGGAAATTTACTCCCTGGGGAAAATGCCATATGAGAGATTTACTAACAGTGAGACTGCTGAACACATTGCCCAAGGCCTACGTCTCTACAGGCCTCATCTGGCTTCAGAGAAGGTATATACCATCATGTACAGTTGTTGGCATGAGGTAAGTGTTTTATTATGACCTCTTAAATTATTTCCTTGACTCTACTTGCCCATTTAGCTGGCCATTCATCCACAGACTGGTAGCTGCACATGCTCTTCTTTTTTTTTTTTGAGACAAGGTCTCCCTCTTTTACCCAGGTTGGAGTGCAGTGGTGTGATCTCAGCTCACTCACTACAACCTTTGCCTCAAGCAATTCTCATGTCTCAACCTCCTAAGTAGCTGGGATTACAGGCATGCACCACCACACCCAGCTAATTCTTGCATTTTTAGCAGAGACAGCGTTTTGCCACGTTGGCCAGGCTGGTCTCAAACTCCTGAACTCAAGTGATCCACCTGCCTCGGCCTCCCAAAGTGCTGGAATTAGAGGTGTGAACCAACACACTCGGCCTTGCACACATTCTCTGACCTTGGCCTGCACCTCAATCATCCTATGGCCAGAGGCTTTCCCTGGCCCATTCCAATTCTCACTGTCACGTTATTAATACACTCCAATGCCAACTCAGCTCTAGGAAGGGGGTTGGTGTGGGGCCATGTCATCTAGCATAATCAGGCAGCCAGAGGCACTGAAACAAGTGAATGAGCATTACAAAAGAAAAGTCATGAAAGTTTGTTCATTCCTTTGGACATCATTGGCCCTTTCTTCTACTTTACTAGCTGCCAACCATTTCTGGCTGAGGTCCTAAATGAGACTTATGTTTAAATCCTACTGCTTGAAAGGGAACTAAAATAGCTAGTGGGTGTTTTTTTTTTTTTTTTTTTGGCTTGCTTTGTTTTGTTTTCGCTTTTTAATACAGTGCATTGTGGGCTACGGGTAGGTGTGGTACTCTGGAAATAAGGAATCTGTCCTACTACTATTAAACTGCTTTGCTGCTCTCACCTCGAGTTCTTCCCGAGATGCCTTCCCTACTTTTCAGTAGATCCTTGGCAACCTAAATTTCTAGTAGGAAATAAATGCTCAACTCTTAAGAGCGTCCAACAAGTGCATATGTGAATCTGGAGCCCTCTTGGTGAGGTGAAAAGTGGGTATCTGGATTCGAGCATGGCTCCTCTCCCTCAAATGACAGATCACAGAGAAAGTATGCAGAAAGGGAGGGCTCCATCTTTCTCCTGTGTAATGCAGGATTAAGGGTGATTGGCTACACTCCCTCCCAACCAGGACCTTCTTACTCTGCTAATTAAAAATGATTTCAGACAGGTATGTTCTCCACAGTCTGTTTAAAGGAGCAGTCAAAATTGGATGTATATTAGAAACCAGAAGGAGCTCTGAAAAATGCAGATTACTGGGCCTCTTCCCCAGAAATTCTGATTAGGTATGCCTGAAGTGGAACGCAGAACTCTCTTTTTAAACTTCCCAGGAAATTCTTATACTCAGCTACGTTTAAGAATCGCTGAGTCTCCCGCCTGCCTGGCCAACATGGTAAATCCTGTCTCTACTAAAAATAGAAAAATTTGCTGGGTGTAGTGGCACACACCTGTAGTCCCAGCTACTCAGCAAGCTGAGGCCAGAGAATCGCTTGAAACTGGGAGGCGGAGGTTGCAGTGAGCCGAGATCTTGCCATCGTACTCCAGCCTGGGCGACGGAGAGCAAGACTCTGTCGCAAAAAAAAAGAATCACTGAGTCAAAGAATGAAGAAATTGATGACCTTTGATTCTGAAAGATTGAGACCATTTTGGCATGAATGTTCCCTGAATCACTAAATACTAAATACCTCAAGGGCTTGTAGGCCATGGCCATCAAAAAAACCCTTATTCTTGGCTGGGCGTGGTGGCTCATGCCTGTAATCCCAGCTCTCTGGGAGGCCGAGGCAGGTGGATAACCTGAGGTCAGGAGTTCGAGACCAGTCTGGCCAACATAGTAAAACCCTGTCTCTACTAAAAATACAAAAATTAACTGGGTGTGGTGGCATGCACCTGTAATCCCAGATACTCGAGAGGCTGAGGCAGGAGAAACACTCGAACCCAGCAGGTGAATGTTGCAGTGGGCCAAGCTTGTGCCACTGCACTCCAGGCTGGGCAACAAAGTGAGTCTCCATCTCAAAAAAAAAAAAACAAAACTTTAGTCTGGAGGCCAGACAGTGGTAAGAAAAGGTCCCAGGTACTCAGAATCCCTGCTCAGTGATATGGCCTGTGGTTTTGAAATATTAGTCACTAAAAATTATCACATGGGATTTCTGTTCTGCCAACCAGTTGAACTTATTTAGTAGCAATTTTTCACTTGAGGATCCAAAATAAGAATCTGTTGTGTACAGTTACATAATGAACTTGCCCTCAGTTTTGATCAATGTGATTATCAGTTTAATTTGCAAACTGTTATCACACTAATAACCTGAGTTACTAAAGATGAAAAGTGTACACAGACTTTATGGAGAGCTGCTATTTCTTTTCTTTCTGTTTTTTTCTTTCCTTTTGTAATTGACAGGGTATGCTACTGGGCATAGAGCATATATTTAATAAGCATTTGCTGTTTACTCATTGCATTTCCCTTGAATTGTGGATTCTAGCCATTCTGACACTGCTTTTTCTTTGGTTTTAGAAAGCAGATGAGCGTCCCACTTTCAAAATTCTTCTGAGCAATATTCTAGATGTCATGGATGAGGAATCCTGAGCTTGCCAATAAGCTTCTTGGTTCTACTTCACTTCTCCACAAGCCCGTTTCACTTTTTCAGAGGAAATCCCAGGCTTAGGAGCCCTGGAGGCTTTGTGCTCCCACTGAATACACAAAGACCCCTCTCTACATCTGGGAATGCCCCTCTTCGATTCCCTGGGATAGTGGCATCTGAGCAAAGGCCAAGAAGTTATTGTGCCTGCAATTTCCCGAGAAAATTAAGACAGACTGAATTTGGGATGGAAACATTTTTTAGGAGGAAGGATGTAAATAGCTGCACGAAGGGGTGCAACAGCTCTTTGAGTAGGCATTTGGTAGAGCTTGGGGGTGTGTGGGGGGGTCAGAATTTGGCAAGAATGAAATGGTGTCATAAAGATGGGATGGGAGGGTGTTTTGATAAAATAAAATTACTAGAAAGCTTGAAAGTCTTTGGTATCTGTATTAATCATACAACCCCTCTGAAGCGCCCTATCTCAGTATTCCAGAAAGCTGCTGTGTGGTATTAGTTTGGCAAATTCCTACACTGAGAAGACAGGATCTTCCGCGTTTAAGCCCACCTGTTAATTCCTGCCTCTGAATCAGAGATGCATTAAGCCAAAACAGTCCTCCTCACAGCAGGCATATCATGTTATTCGAATCTGAAAGTTGGGCACAAACTCTGCCAGAGCTTCATTTCCCTATGTCGGGAGAGGAAAACCCCATCAAAAAACGAAAGCCGGCCGGCCACGGTGGCTCACGCCTGTAATCCCAGAACTTTGGGAGGCTGAGGTGGGCAGATCACCTAAGGTCAGGAGTTCGAGACCAGCCTGACCAACATGGTGAAACCCCGTGTCTACGAAAGTTACAAAAATTAGCTGGGCGTGGTGGCGCATGCCTGTAATCCCAGCTACTCGGGAGGCTGAGGCAGAAGAATCGCTTGAACCCAGGAGGCAGAGGTTGCGGTGAGCCGATCACACCATTGCACTCCAGCCTTGGCAAACAAGAGCGAAACTCCATCTAAAACAAAACAAAACCAAACCAAACAAAACAACAAACAAACAAAGCCCCACGAAAGCCGGAGCCCAGGATAACCAACTAACCCGCCCAGCTGTCCGGTCAGCGCACCACCCGGGTAGCTCAGAAAACGCGGGCCAATTTGGAAGTGGAAAAGGGCGGAGCTGTTGGGCCAGCCCGGAACGGACCACGTGGTCTGAGGTAACTTCCTTTTCTTTCTTTTCTTTTTGGAATAACATCTCAACAACATCTCGGCACCTCGGGTGCAAGCCCTGCGACCTCAAGACGCAAGGCTGGGAGCAAACACGGGGCTGTGGGGTTGCGGGATTGCAGGCTTCAGGGAGTGAGACCCGCAAGCTTGGGGAGCGTAGCGCAACGCCGGGCCGGCGCCGCGGCATAGGAGGCGGCGTGGTGAACTTGAGCGCCGGCCTCGCGCAGACGCAGCGCACTCACGGGGCGGTCCCGGAGGCAGCGAGCTGTGATTCCGGTTCCGTCGCGGAGACACGTGAAGGTCGGTTGGTTGGTACAGAGTTCGTCTCTGCAAGCGTGGTCACCCTGGGATGGATTCCTCCTCCTCTTCCTCCGCGGCAGGTTTGGGTGCAGTGGACCCGCAGTTGCAGCATTTCATCGAGGTAGAGACTCAAAAGCAGCGCTTCCAGCAGTTGGTGCACCAGATGACTGAACTTTGTTGGGTGAGGAGTCTGGGGCTGGGACCTCAACACTGTGCCTACTTTCCTTCTGTCCTTGTCCCGCGGGACTCGCGACAACGTCGGGGATTCGGGGAGGGGCGGGCACCTAACAGCACCCCTTGATTTTCTCAGGTTCCTGTGGCCTAGCCAGATGGGAGAAGGGTGACTCCACTTCTCAGATGACAGTCATACCGGACCTCTGTTTTGTTGGTCCCGAGGGGTATCAAAGAAGACTTATGCCACTGGACACCCAGCACTTTCAGGCACCCGAGGTTGAATCTGCCTAGTGCTGGTCACCAAGACTGATCGGATCCCCCAGTACTGGGATTTTATTTTTGGCAGCCCGAGTCCCAGAGAGTCAGTGATTCAGTGAATCTGCTATTCCTGGACTCCTCGGGATTCACCTTCATTACTCAGTTCTAACCCTCTCCGCTGAGAAATGAGTGGCTCCAGCCTGCTAAGTATAAAAGTGGTGTAATCTCTTCCAACGTACATACGTATTTTCTTTCTTGTTGAATTGTTGTGTAATACCAAGCCGTTTCAGGTCTGAAGGTTGAGGAATTGAGCCTGCCCTGTGAGGGGACTTTCGCAAAAGGGTGGAAGGCATTTGCAGCTTGACAATAATGTGTTCTGGTTGCCAAGGACAGCCCTCCCTTAATATACAAAATTCACAGAATTCAGAGGCCAAGGATAATTTTCCTTGGAATTAGAGAGTCTGAGGCTTGTGTACATGGCAGAGAATAACGAACGAGATTTTTGAACCGCTTAACTTGAACTATATACAGTTACTCGTTTCCGTAGACTCTTTTCCATAAACTTATGGTATTGCTGGACTATGACACCAGATGCTTACTTAACTCCGGTCTGCCTTGTACCAGAGGAGTGCTTTGATCCTTTTTTAAAAAATATCTGTGATTCGTTACTTTGGGGCCACGAGGGCATGTGGTTAAATACTATTGTAAGAGCCGGGCGCGGTGGCTCAAGCCTGTAATCCCAGCACTTTGGGAGGCCGAGGCGGGTGGATCACGAGGTCAAGAGATCGAGACCATCCTGGTCAACATGGTGAGACCCCGTCTCTACTAAAAATACAAAAAATCTGCCGGGCATGGTGGCGCGTGCCTGTGATCCCAGCTACTCAGGAGGCTGAGGCAGAATTGCCTGAACCCAGGAGGCGGAGGTTGCGGTGAGCCGAGATCGTGTCATTGCACTCCAGCCTGGGTAACAAGAGCGAAACTCTGTCTCAAAAAAAAAAAAAAATACTGTTGTAAGAATCCGGCCGGGCATGGTAGCCCACCCCTGTAATCCCAGCACTTTGGGAGGCTGAGGCGGGCGGATCACGAGGTCAAAAGATCGAGACCATTCTGGCCAACTTGGTGAAACCCCGTCTCTACTAAAAATACAAAAATTAACTGGGTGTGGTGGCGTGTCCCTGTAGTCCCAGCTACTCCCAGCTACTCGGGAGGCTGAGGCAAGAGAATTGCTTGAACCCAGGAGGCGGAGGTTGCAGTGAGCCGAGATCGCGCCACTGTACTCCAGCCTGGCGCCTGGTGACGGAGCTAGACTCTGCCTCAAAGAAGGAAAAAAAAAAAAGAATCTGTAAACTGCCAGGCACGGTGGCTCATTCCTGTAATCCCAGCTCTTTGGGAGGCGGGTGGATCACTTGAGGTCAGGAGTTCGAGACCATGGGGAAGCCCTGTCTCTACTAAAAATAGAAAAAATTAGCTGGGCATGGTGGTGCCTGCCTGTAATCCCAGGCACTCAGGAAGCTTAGGCACAAGAATCACTTGAACCTGGGAGGTAGAGGTTACAGTGAGATCATGCCACTGCACTCCAGCCTGGGCCACAGAGCCCACTCTGTCTCAAAAAAAAAGACCAAAAGAAAAAAAAAAAAAGAACAAAATTGTAAGCTATGAACCCTTTAGGAAAATTCATACAATTTTCTGTTCATTATGGCATGATTCAAGAATCTCTAGCTTAAGTAGACAAGGTTATATAATCTCAAGTCATGGATTTTTTTCTTCTTTGGTAGGTTTTAGGGTATCTTGCTGTAATGATTTACTCTTTCACCCTTTTATTCTGTAGTTAATTTGAAGGCATTTAGTGCGAACAGTATTGTGGAGTTGCAGCCAAATTCACTGAAAGGTTACTTCAGTTGTATTTTGCCATTTTCTTGCTCTGGAATATCCCAGCTATGCCATTTTCTGGCCCTATGACTTTGGGCAAAGTATGTCTGTGCCACAGTTTCCCTGTTTGTAAAATGAGGATTTATAATATATCTATTCCATAGGGTTGTTATAAGAATTGAATGTAAGGCTAGAGAACATTGCTATATACTTGGGCAGCTGCCAAATGTGAACTATTATTAACATATCAGATACTATTTTTAGGTAAAGTTTTTTTTCTCTAAGCAACAAAAGGGACCCCTGCCCCCAACCATCTTTTTCTTTCTAAGTTCCCTTTGTGATTCTGTATCTTGTCCTGAGCAGGAGAAGTGCATGGACAAGCCTGGGCCAAAGTTGGACAGTCGGGCTGAGGCCTGTTTTGTGAACTGCGTTGAGCGCTTCATTGATACAAGCCAGTTCATCTTGAATCGACTGGAACAGACCCAGAAATCCAAGCCAGTCTTCTCAGAAAGCCTTTCTGACTGATCTCAGCATTACCTCTTTGGAAAAGGAAAGTAGTTCAAGAAATGAAGAGCTGTTGATAGGATGATTGAAGAAACAGCTGATTGAAGATTGGCTCCCATCTTTTGTTACTCTTGGGACATCCTGTCATCTGAGAATGAACAAAGACAAATTTTTTTGTCTGTAGAGCTCGAGGGTCCTATGTTTGCTTGTATTTTTAATGCTAATCTTGTGAAAATAATTGACAAATTAATGGAAAACTCTAGATGCATATTACTGTATATGGCACTATGCTTTTCTCCAAGCCCCATTAAGTGCTCCCTAAAATTTTGATAGTGGGACCACATATGTAAAAATTTCTCATTTGTGTGGAATCATTTCTGATTTCAGGGGAGATCCTTGTCTATCAGAAAGGGCAGTAGTGGGGGAAGAATAATTTGGCGTCCTTATCTTGTGCTTGATTATCAATGCTGGAGAAAAAGATCTGTAAGAGTGTTTATACAGTACACTTAAGTTTTCCTGATGATCTCCCTTTCCTCTATAGTGATTTACTTAAATATCCATGTTAAGTATAGTCTCAAGGTAGGGTAGGCAGTGTGAGAGTCTAGAGGCCTTTAGTTATAAGGAATCTAGCCAGTAAACTTAATTCTTATTACTAGACTGCCACAAGGAAGAAGTTAACTTGCCCTGTATATCAGGGTACAAAAAACTTCAATGATGTGCCTAAATAAGTTATAAAGATTTAGGCCAATCAGAATCTGACAGCAATTTCAGGTAGAGGTGCATGCCTAATGTTAATCAGTGTAGATTCCACTTACTGCATTCTTTTGATCACTGAAATAAAAGTTATAAAAGATTCAACTCTGTGATTGAGAAGGCTTTCTATTGCAGTTATTATCTGCAACCCGGAGAGATTTAGCTTGGGCTGATTCCAAGGCTAAAATATAGTCAGTCAGTCTGCGTAACTGCTGTGTTTAAGGTGTAGCATAGTATTCCAGGGGTTCCTGACCTTTTTGAGAGAAAAGAGAACCTGGAGATGAGATGGGGAGGGAAGCAGTTCTGTGCTAGCAGTCAAGTCCCTCACTACAGTAGAGGTTGTAATGACTGAATTCACCTCTTATTTCAGATCCTTGTAGACTAGAGCATAGACCTAAAGTGGACCTACCTGTTGGGAGCCTCTAGTGCAAATCCATGAAAGCTGGGGAAATGAATATCTCTAAAAGCTTCAAGTTCCTGTTTAGATTTTCCCCATAAAGGTAATACAAGGAAGTTTTTTGTTGTTGTTTAGACAGAGTCTCACTCTGTTGCCCAGGCTAGAGTGCAGTGGCACAATCTCGGCTCACTGCAACCTCCACCTCCCAGGTTCAAACTATTCTCCTGCCTTAGCCTCCTGAGTAGCTGGGATGACAGGTGCATACTATCACACCTGGCTACTTTTTGTATTTTTAGTAGAGACGGGGTTTCATCATGTTGGTCAGGCTGGTTTTGAACTCCTGACCTCATGATCCGCCCGCCTTGGCCTCCCAAAGTGCTGGCATTACAGCCATAAGCCACTGCCTGGCCGGAAATTTTTTTAAATCTTGATGAAAACAGTTAAACATTTAAGTGCATACACTGCTCCACTGTTTTTAGTGACAAGATTTAAGCAGTGCACAGAAATAAGCTGCCTGCCCCTGAGGAGCTTGTGGTCTAGTTAGGGGAGATAGACAATAAACACATAAATATGTCAATATGTCAATGTAATAAGTACCATAGAGAAAAAAAGCAATATAAGAGTGTTAGGGAATATTTCTGGGGTATGTTTATTTTATGTACAATGTTTTGAGAAGGCCTCCTTGGGAAGGTGGCATTTCAACAGAGACCTAGATGAACTAAGTGACCAAACCTTGTGGGTATTAGAGAATAACATTTCGGGCAGGAGTGACAGCAAGTCCAAAGGCCCCAACGTGGGAACTACATTGCCATGATGCCATGGAGAACAGTCAAGTGGTCATTATGACTGGAGTGAAGTGAGTAAGGAGAATGGTAAGAAATAAGGCTGGAGAGGCCAGGTGCGGTGGGCTCACGCCTGTAATCCCAACACTTTGGGGAGGCCAAGGTGGATGGATCACCTGAGGTCAGGAGTTCAAGACCAGCCTGGCCAATGTGGTAAAACCCTGTCTCTACAAAAAAATACAAAAATTAGTCAGGCATGGTGGCAGGCATCTGTAATCCCAGCTATTTGGAAGTCTGAGGCAGGAGAATTGCTTAAACCCAGGAGGCATAGGTGCCACTGCACTCCACTCTGGGGAACAGAACAAGACTTGGTCTCAAAAAAAAAGTAAGATTAGAGAAAAATGCATGCAATAGATCAGGGTGAGGGGTGTGTGTGCACTGATTAGGTAGGGCTTTGTAGGCCATTGCAAGGAATTTGGGCTTTTACTAAGCAAGATGGGGAGACATTTGAGGGATTTTAACAGATAAATGATGTAACAATTTTAGGAGGATCTGGGTTTGGCTGTTCTTTGGGCAACATCATATGGTGAAGAAATTGTAACAGTAGCAGTAGTATTAAGAATAATGGCATTTTGAAATCCAGGAAGATGAGAATCACATATACTTTGTGTCTATGTGTCCTGTTGACATTTTTACCTACAAAAATTAATGTGAGGCTGGGCACAGTGGCCCACACCTATAATCCCAACACTTCTGGAGGCTGAAATGGAAGGATTGCTTGAGCCTAGGAGTTTGAGACCAGCCTAGGCAACATGGCAAAACCCCATCTCTACAAAAAAATCCAAAAATTAGTTGGGTGTGGTGGCACATACCTGTAGTCCCAGATACATGGGAGGCAGAGGTGAGAGGATCACCTGAGCCTGTGGAAGTTGAGGCTGCAGTGAGCCATGGTCACGCCAATGTCACCAGGCTGGAGTCTGGGTGACAGTGAGACCTTGCCTCAAAAATAAAAAGAAAATGTGTTCTTGGCCAGGTGGAGTGGCTCACACCTGTAATCCCAGCACTTTGGGAGGCTGAGGCCGGTGGGTCACCTAAGATCAGGAGTTCAGGACCAGCCTGGCCAGTCTGGTGAAACCTCATCTCCACTAAAAACAATTAGCCAGGCTTGGTGGTGGGTGCCTGTAATCCCTGCTACTTGGGAGGCTGAGGCAGGAGAATTGCTTGAACTCCAGAGGCGGAGGTTGCAGTGAGCTGAGACCACACTATTGCACTCCAGCCTGGGCAACATGGCAAAACTCCGTCTCAAAAAAAAAAAAAGAAAGAAAATGTGTTCTTAAAACCTCAAGTCTTAGAGAATGGTTCTTTAGTCTTTTCCTTATTATTATATTTATTATTTATTACTGTATTATTTTTCTTACTCATTTAGTATTAAAATGTTCTCATTACATGTACACAAAAATGTCTTTACAGTATTGCTTGCTCAGCGAATATATATATTGAAAAAGGTCTGTCAGATTCATACAGTATGCTTGAGCACCAATTATGTGTTTTGACACTACTGAGCACAAGACAATGGAAAAGAAAAGATGTGACATTTGCCCCTGCCTTCGAAGAAGCTAAAAACTCCCTGGCCAGGTGCAGTGGCTTAAGCCTGTATGTAATCCCAGCACTTTGGGAGGCTAAGGCGGGTGAATTATGAGGTCAGGAGTTCAAGACCAGCCTGGCCAACATGGTGAAACCCCGTCTCTACTAAAAATACAAAAAATTAGCTGGGTGTAGTGGAAGGCGCCTGTAATCCCAGCTACTGGGGAGGCTGAAGCAAGAGAATTGCTTGAAGCTGGGAGTGGAGGTTGCAGTGAGCCAAGATCGTGCCACTGCACTCCAGCCTGGGTGGCAGAGCGAGACTCTGTCTCAAAAAAAAAAAAAAGTTCCCAAAGCAACAATTTGGACTGGTTTGTTTTGTCAGTCTCAGAAATGCATTTTCAGAACCTTGATAGGTGGTACTGTTAGCCCTGATGACATTCAAAGTCTTCATTTCAAATATTCAAGGTAGAAAATTCAAAACTCAATTGTAAAACAATAGAATTTGATTAGCAGACCCTTTTCATGAAATGAAATCTCACCTAGAAGCCTGATAATGTGGCCGGGCACAGTGGCTCACACCTTTAATCCCAGGACTTTGGGAGGCTGAGGCGGGCAGACATGAGGTCGGGAGTTCGACCCTAGCCTGACCAACACGGAGAAACCCCATCTCTACTAAAAAAAAAAAAAAAAAACTAGCCAGGTATGGCGCACATGCCTGTAATCCCAGCTACTCAGGAGGCTGAAGCAGGAGAATTGTTTGAACCCAGGAGGCGGAGGTTGCGGTGAGCCGAGATAGCACCATTGCATTCCAGCCTGGGCAATGAGAGAAACTTAAAAAAAAAAAAAAAGGAAAAAAAAACCCTGATCTGATATGTAAACAGAAAAGCCAAGCAGTTCTGGTGGTGGGTATCTGGAAGCCTGCCTACTGTTGTGTCCTCACCCATTTGCACTGCCAGTGTTGCCTAAGGCTCTGTCTTCAAGCTTCCACGTTCTACCAAGCACGCACCGAAATAGTCTATGTATGATCATTAGGGATAACAGAAGGAAATCAAGCAAAAACCTGCTATTTATTTAAGATAAACTCCATAAGGAATTTGAACTCATATCAATAAACTCCATGTAAAATAGTCTTTACATGAAGTACTGGAAAACAGTAGATGGTCCTTTTCTTAAAAACCAATTTTTCCCATAGGATAGCAATACCCTTTTTTTTTAGATGGAGTTTTGCTCTGCTCTTGTTGCCCAGGCTGGAGTGCAATGTCATCATCTCAGCTCACTGCATCCTTTGCCTCCCAGGTTCAAGCAATTCTCCTGCCTCCACCTCCCAAGTAGCTGGGATCACCAGCACCCACAGCCATCTACAACCACACTCAGCTAATTTTTGTATTTTTAGTAGACACGGCATTTCACCACGTTGGCCAGGCTAAGCTCAAACTCCTGATCTCAGGATGGTTTCTAGATTCATCCATGTCCCTACAAAGGACACAAACTTATCGTTTTTCCTTATTTATTTATTTATTTGTTTGTTTGTTTGTTTATTTTTGCTTCATTGTCAATGCAGAGAACTCATCATTTTTTATGACTGCATAATATTCCATGGTGTATATGTGCCACATTTTCCTTGTCCACTCTATCACCGATGGGCATTTGGGTTGGTTCCAGGTCTTTGCTATTGTAAACTGTGCCGCAATTAACATATGTGTACATGTGTCTTTATAATAGAATGATTTATAATCCTTTGGGTATATACCCAGTAATAGGATTGCTGGGTCAAATGGAATTTCTATTTCTAGGTCCTTGAGGAATCGCCACACTGTCTTCCATAATGGTTGAACTAATTTGCACTCCCACCAACCATATAAAAGTGTTCATATTTCTCCACATCCTCTCCAGCATCTGTTGTCTCCAGATTTTTTACTGATAGCCATTCTAACTGGTGTGAGATGGTACCTCAAAATGGTTTTGATTTGCATTTCTCTTATAGATTCACATGCACGTAGCCAAAAGAACAACTCCATGTTTTCTAAAAGGCCTAGAGAATATCTATCGTGTGCCTCTCCTCTTTTCCTTTGTGTTTATCATTTTGGAAAATTACTGCAAGATGGCGGTTCCGGCTGGTTTTTATTTAAAAAAGAATTATACTTCCCACACAACACTGGCATATCAAATAGATTATTTATATCTAAGGACCTCGAGGGCTGGGAGTAGGGTGAGGTGAACAAGGCACTTGCTTCACGTGAAAATTCAAGGGGGTACAAAAAAACTCAGTTATCAAGAGGAATGATGTTTTAATGAAATATTTTAAAAATAAAATTAATGCAAAAGTCCATAATGAACAAAATATCAAGATTTTTAAGAAAGACAGGACCAGAACAGTGCCATACTGAGCCATATTGGAGCCTGAGGCAGGCAAAATATAGATTCCATATACATGCTTTTATGTATTCTTGAATAGTTAACTTTTTTCCAGAACATTAAAGCAGTTGAAAAAATACTGAAACATAGATAAATTAAAACTCACAGCAGTTAAGTTTAAAACATGTTATTTCCACCAAAACTAGAGTTTATTAAATTCTACTTTCTTGGTTTAATAGAAACAAACTCATTGAAAATATTTTTTTTCTTTCTTTTTTTGTTTTGTGAGACAGAGTCTCACTCCGTCGCTCAGGCTGGAGTGCAGTGGTGCAATCTGGGCTCACTGCAACCTCTGCCTCCTGGGTTCAAGCGATTTTCCTGCCTCAGCCTCCCAAGTAGCTGGCACTACAGGCACCAGCCACCATGGCTGGCTAATTGTTTAATTTTTAGTAGAGACGTGGTTTCACCATATTGGTCAGGCTGGTCTAGAACTCCTGACCTCAGGTAATCCGCCCACCTGGGCCTCCCAAAGTGCTGAGATTACAGGCATGAGCCACCACACCTGGCCAGAAAATATTTCCCACAATTGTGACTTTTCTGAGGTAAAACCATCTTGAAACTGATAATTTTTTTTATTTCTAAAAATCAAACAGAGCCTCTAAGAGAGAAGACTCAAAGCAAAGCAATCATGGATCTAAATTAGCAAGGGCTGGAAGGTGGTGATAACTTCTCAAAATTGAAAAGTTGGGATCTTGTTATACAGAAACAACCAGCTATGCCTTGGGATCAAAATCCAGAACAAGCAAATGAAAATTACAGTGAAGACGAACAAAAGGGAAAGCAGAAATGGAGAGACAGAGGAGGAGAAGCAGGCAGAAAGAGAGAGCAAGAAAACGAAGAGGAAAATGAAAAGGAGCTGGAAGATGAACAGGAAGAAAAAAGGAAAAGGGAACATGAGAAACAATATCCCAAGAAAAGATTAGTCAGCAAATCCCTCATGGCCACTCTCTGGGCAAAGTTTAAATTAAACAGGTGCCCCACAATACAAGAGAGTTTATCACTCTCATTTCAATTTGGCATGACACATAAACAGGTATGTCAATGGTTTTGTAAAAACAGAAAGAAATGTCTAAGAGAAAGGATAGGAAAAAAGAGATGGGGTCTCTCTGAGTTGCCAAGGCTGGTCTCAAACTCCTGTCCTCGGGGGAATCTTCCCACCTTGGCCTCCAGAAGTGCTGTAATTACAAGCATGAGCCATTATGCCTGGCTAAGACGTTCTTTCTTTTTCCTTCTCCTCTTTTTTTTTTTTTTTTGGTCTCTGTCGCCAAGGCTGGAGTGCGGTGCAGTGGTGTGGTCTCAGCTTGTGGCCTCCACCTCCCAGTTTCAAGTGGTTCTCCTGCCTCACCCTCTTGAGTCTAATGGTGACATCATTTTCACCAATAAATGGAGTTCTGAAAGAATAAACAAGAAATTATGAACGATCATTAATTCCGTGAAGAACTAAATGAGGGGAGTGCAAAGGATTTCCTATATATCCTGTTTTTACCTTACTGTGGTTTTAAAGTTTTTACAATGGATGCTAATTAATTTTATTTCAGAAAAAATCAATAAAGAAATTGCCAACCTCTCAAAATATTTTGAGACTGAAAGGGAAATCCATTGTAAAAGCTGATGGGTTCAGTGCATTCTGCAACTTGTCAATATATCTCTAAACATCCCTTCCAGGCCGGGCGTGGTTGCTCACACCTATAATCCCAGCACTTTGGGAGGCTGAGGCGGGACGATAACTTGTGGTCAGGAGTTCGAGACCAGCCTCACCAACATGGTGAAACCCCATCTCTACTAAAAATACAAAATTAGCCAGGCATGGTAGCGCATGCCTGTAATCCCAGCTACTCAGGAGGCTGAGGCAGGAGAATTGCTTGGGCCCAGAAGGTTGCAGTGAGCCAAGTGCCATTGCACTCCAGCCTGGACAACAAGAGAGAAACTCCATTTCAAAATAAATAAATAAATACATCCCCATATATACATATGGCAGCAACCTGGCTGGGCACAGTGGCTCACGCCTCTAATACCAGCATTTTGGGAGGCTGAGGCGGGTATATCATTTGAGGTCAGTAGTTTGAGACCAGCTTGGTTAACATGGTGAAACCCCAACTCTATTAAAAATAGAAAAAATTAGCTGGGCATGGTGGTGCATGCTTGTAATCCCAGCTATTTAGGAGGCTCAGGCAGGAGAATCTCTTGAACCTGGGAGGCAGAGGTTGCAGAGCCGAGATCACGCCATTGCACTCCAGCCTAGGAGACAAGAGTGAAATTCTGTCTAAAAAAAAAACAAATCACAAGTTTAGGTCTAATATATAGAATCTGGGGGAAGTTCTAGTAATCTGGTGCAATTTAAATGCAAGGTAGACATCGAAGAATCTTTAGAAATGAGAATCAGAAGGTAGACATGGACTACATAGTTATGTCATGCTAAGGAGTTTAGATTTTATTCTGGATGGGTATGAGAGTCGATCAAATTAATGGTTCTCAATATATATATCTATATATAGATGTATATATTCACCATATGTATATATACATATATACACAAATAAACTGTTGACAGTTTATTTGTTTGTGTGTTCGGTTTTTGTTTTTGAGACACAGTCTCGCTCTGTTGCCCAGGCTGGAGTACAGTGGCGTGATCTCAGTTCACTGCAACCTCCGCCTTCTGGGTTCAGGCGATTCTCCTGCCTCAGCCTCCTGAGTAGCTGGGACTATAGGCACCTGCCACGATGCCTGACTAATTTTTGTATTTTTAGTAGACACGGGATTTCACCATGTTGGCCAGGCCGGTGTCAAACTCTTGACCTCAGGTGATCCACCCACCTCAGCCTCCCAAAGTGCTGAGATTACAGGTGTGAGCCACTGTGCCCAGCAATCCCAGAGGTTTTGATAGACTGTGTCACTATTATCATTCAGTTTGAAAATTATTTTTATTATTTATTTATTTCTTTCTTTTTCGAGACGGAGTTTCGCTGTTGTTACCCAGACTGTAGTGCAATGGCACGATCTTGGCTCACCACAACCTCCGCCTTCTGAGTTCAAGCAATTCTCCTGCCTCAGCCTCCCGAGTAGCTGGGACTACAGGTGCGCACCACCACACCCAGCTAATTTTTGTGTTTTTAGTAGAGACAGGGTTTCACCTTGCTGACCAGGATGGTCTCGATCTCTTGACCTTGTGATCCACCCGCCTCAGCCTCCCAAAGTGCTGGGATTATAGACATGAGCCACCACACCCAACCGAAAAATTTTTTAATTTTCATCTTGATTTCATTTTTGACCCAATGATCTTTCAGGAACAGGTTATTTAATTCCCATGTATTTGCATAGTTTTGAAGGTTCCTCACCCCCATCTCCCATAGCAGCTGCATAGTTTTGAAAGTTTTGAGATGTAGTCTCGCTCTGTCACCCAGGCTGGAGTGCAGTGGTGTGATATCGGCTCACTGCAACCTCTGCCTCCAAGGTTCAAACAATCCTCCTGCCTCAGCCTCCCAAGTAGCTAGGATTACAGGCACGTGCCACCACACCTGGCTAATTTTTAAATTTTTTGTAGACACGAGTTTCACCATGTTAGTCAGGCTGGTCTCGAACTCCTGACCCCAGGTGATCCACCCGCCTCGCCCTCCCAAAGTGCTAGGATTACAGGCATGAGCCACTGGGCCCGGCTTCAGTTCAAATTGTTACAAAGTTCAGCTGGAGAGTTCCTTCTCCCTGTCACTTTTTCCAAGTGCCTCTGGCCACCCTACTGAAGGACCCCTGTAAAGCCAGGCAGAAATGGTTTGCTAGGGGACCCAGTGAGCACACAGGACTTTTCCCACTGCTTCCTCTACGCCTGTATTTCACTCGGCTATCTAAATTGACTCAGCTCCAGGTAAGGTCAGAATCTTCTTCCATAATCTAGGCCTTCAGTTTCTCCAGCAGGGGTGTGTGTTTGGGGGCAGACAATCTCCCTTTCCCACTTCCACAGTTTGGGCACTCACAGTATTTGGGGTGTCTCCTGGCTCCTGCAAGAGCAGTCCACTTCCTTCAGAGGGTCTGTGGGTCCTCTTGGGTTTCCTGATTTATTCCTGCAGTTGTTCTGGAGCAAAAATTCATGATGTGAGCCTCCACATGCTGCTCTGTTCATCCAAGTTGGAGCTGGAATCTAGTCCTGCCTCCCATCTGCCATGATCCCCCCCCAACCTTTTTTTGAAAAACGTAGAACACTTCACAGATTTGTGTGTCATCCTTGTGCAGGGATCATGCTAATCTTCTCTGCGTCATTTCAATTCCAGTACAGGTGCTGTCGAAATGAGCCCAGGTGCTTAGGTTTTGATGGCCTTGTAGAGACAGGAGACAGAGCCTTGGGCCTATGTAAGGCAGCAGGGTGGAACCTACCTGTAGAAAGTTGGGACTTTTAAAGGACTACACCTTCAATAAGGTTGAACTAGACAAAAATTCATTCACTAGCATAGGAAGACAAGCTGGTATCTGAGAAGGCAGAAAAAAGGTCTCCATCTGAGGCCTGCTTTCACATGGGTTTGGGATTCAAAATGTATACCTTCTACAATGTCCAGGAACCCTCTACACCAAAAAATGAGTATAAAGTGTATACTCACTTAAAAGTATAACTATTGCTGTTCCTACCTGGCAGAAGCAACATAAAACAGCTGTGGAGACACATATCTTTCAGAAGATCCTCACAAGTAAAGCTGCACTGAACACAATTTAAAATAAAAAATTACAAAACACACGAAAAAACACCACAACATAATCAAATGTCTGAAGACACACAAATAGAATTAGACCCCAAAATATGCAGACTCATCTGATAAACACTATAAAATAACTATACTTAAAATGATTAAAGATATAATTGAAAACATAAGAAAAGAACAAGACATTATTTTATTTTTACAGATTTGAGGCTACAAATGCAGTTTTGTTACATGGATATATTGTGTAGTGGTGAAGTTTGGACTTTATTTATTTATTTATTTATTTTAAAGATGGGGTTTCACCATATTGGTCAGGCTGGTCTCGAACTCCTGACCTCAGGTGATCCGCCCACCTCAGCCTCCCAAAGTGCTGGGATTATAGGCGTGAGCCACCGTGCCTGGTCAGAAGTTTGCACTTTGAAGTGTAACCATCACTCAAATTGTGTACGCTGTACCCATTAGGTAATTTTTTTTTTTTGAGACAGAGTTTCTTTCTTGTTGCCCAGGCTGGAGTGCAGCGGTGCAATCTCAGCTCATTGCATCCTCTGCTTCCTGGGTTCAAACTATTCTCTGGTCTCAGCCTCCTAAATAGCTGGGATTACAGGCATGTGCCACCACATCCAGCTAATTTTTTTGTATTTTTAGTAGAGATGGAGTTTTACCATCTTGGCCAGGCTGGTCTTGAACTCCTGACCTCATGATCTACCTGCCTCAGCCTCCCAAAGTTCTGGGATTACCAGGAGTGAGCCACTGTGGCCAGCCCATTTTTTTTTTTTTTTTTTTTTTGAGACAGGGTCACCCAGACTGGAGAGCAGTGGTGCAATCTTGTCTCACTGCAACCTCCGCCTCCTGGGTTCAAGCGATTCTCCTGCCTCAGCCTCCCAAGTAACTGGGACTACAGGCGCCCAACACCATGCCCGGCTAATTTTTGTATTTTTAGTAGAGACAGGGTTTCACCATATTGGCCAGGCTGGTCTCAAACTCCTGACCTTGTAATCTGCTCACCTTGGCCTCCCAAAGTGCTGGAATTTTAGGTGTGAGCCACTTCACCCAGCCTGGCATGTCATTTCTATATATTGGTAACATTTCAAGTACTCTCTTCTAGCTACTTTGAAATATACAATATATTTTTTCTAACTCTAGTGACCCTACGCTGTTATGGAACATTAGAACATATTTCTTCTAACTGGATTACTGGATCCATTAACAAACCTCTTTTCATCACCCCCTGCCACCCACACACCTTTTCCAGCCTCTGTTATCTATAATTCCATTCTCTATTTCCATGGGGTCAACTTTTTTCATTTCCAACATATGAGTGAGAATATGTAATATTTGTCTTTCTGTGCCTGGCTTATTTCATATAACATGTAACATCCAGTTAGTTCCATTAGTTTCATTTATGTTGCTACAAATGACACAATTTCATTCTTTTTTATGGCTTTATAGTATTCCATTGTGTATATATAGCACTTTTTTTATTGCATTTTAGGTTTTGGGGTACATGTGAAGACCATGCAAGATAGTTGCATAGGTACACATGTGGCAGTGTGATTTGCTGCCTTCCTCCCCTTCACCTATATCTGGCATTTCTCCCCCTGCTATTTCTCCCCAACTCCCCATCTCCCACTGTCCCTCCCCTATTCCCCCCAACAGACCCCAATGTGTAGTGCTTCCCTCCCTGTGTCCATGTGTTCTCATTGTTCAACACCCTCCTATGAGTGAGAACATGCGGTATTTTGTTTTCTCTTCTTGTGTCAGTTTGCTGAGAATGATGGTCTCCAGGTTCATCCATGTCCCTACAAAGGACACGAATTCATCATTTTTGATTGCTGCATAATATTCCATGGTATATATGTGCCACATTTTCCCTGTCCAGTCTATCGTCGATGGACATATGAGTTGTTTCCAGGTCTTTGCTATTGTAAACAGTGCTGCAGTGAACATTCGTGTGCATGTGTCCTTATAGTAGACCGATTTATAGTCCTTCGGATATATACCTAGTAATGGGATTGCTGGGTCAAATGGAATTTCTATTTCTAGGTCCTTGAGGAATCGCCACACTGTCTTCCACAATGGTTGAACTAATTTACACTCCCACCAGCAGTGTAAAAGTGTTCCTATTTCTCCACATCCTCTCCAGCATGTCTTAAGATTTTTTAATGATCACCATTCTAACTGGCGTGTAATTTTTGTATTTTTAGTAGAGGCAGGGTTTTGCCACGTTGGCCAGACTGGTCTCAAACTCCTGACATCAAGTGATCCACCCGTCTTGGCCTTCTAAAGTGCTGACATTACAAGCCTGAGCCACCGCACCCAGCTGCCATTACTATTAATGGCAAAACTGCAATTACTTTTGCACCAACCTAATATAAAACATTGATGCAAGAACTTGAAGAGGACACGAAAAATGAAAAGATTCCATTTTCATGAATTGGTAGAATAAATGTCGTTAAAATGTCAATACTATCCAAATCAATCTACAGATTCAATGCAATCCTTGTCAGAATACCTACCAATGACATTATTCACAGAAACAGAAAAAAAAATCCTAAAATTTATATGCAACCATAAAAGACCTATAATAGCCAAAACCATACCAAGCATAAATAACAAAACTGGAGGAATTACATTACCTGTCTTAAAATTATACTACAGAGCTACGGTAACCAAACATGGTACTGGCATAAAGACAGACAAGTAGACCAATGGAACAGAATAGAGTACATAGAAACAAATCCGTACAGCTACAGCAAACTCATTTTCAACAAAGGTGCCAAGAAAATATGCTGGGGAAAAGACAGTTTCTTCAATAAATGATGCTGGGAAAACTGGATATTCATAAGCAGAAAGAATGAAACTAGATCCCTGTCACCATCTACAAAAATAAAATCAAAATGAATTAAAGACTTAAATCCAAGACCTCGAACCATGAAACTACTACAAGAAAACACTGGGGGTACTTTCCAGGACATTGGACTGAGCAAAGATTTCTTTAGTAATATTCCACAAGCACAGACAGCCAAAGCAAAAGTGGACAAATGCGATCATATCGAGTTAAAAAGCTTTTGCACGGCAAAGGAAACAACAAAGTGAAGAGGCAACCCACGGAATGGGAGAATATTTGCAAACTACTCATCTGACAAGTGATTAATAATGAGAATATGTAAGGAGTTCAAACAACTCTATAGGAAAAAAATCTCTAATAATCCAATTTAAAAATGGGCCAAATAGCTGAATAGATGTTTATCACAAGAAGACATACCAATGACAAACAGGTTTATGAAAAGGTGCTCAACATCACTGATCATCAGAGAAATGCAAATGAAAATTATATTGAGATACTGGCCAGGCATGATGGCTCACGCCTGTAATCCCAGCACTTTGGGAGGCTGAGGCAGTTGAATCACTTGAAGTCAGGAGTTCAAGACCAGCCTGGCCAACATGGTGAACCCCGTCTCTACTAAAAATATTTAAAAAATTAGCTGAGCATGGTGGTGCACACCTGTAAGTAATCCCAACTACTCAGGAGGCTGGGACAGGAGAATTGCTTAAACCCAGGAGGTGGAGGTTGCAGTGAGCCTAGTTCGTTCCATTGCACTCCAGCCTGGGTGACAGAGCAAGACTTCATCTCAAAAAAAAAAAAAAACGGAAAA